AGATGTGGGACACCATGAAAAGACCAAATCTACAGATCATAGGAATAGAGGAAGGAGAAGAATTTCAGGTTAATGGTGTTGACTAGATCTTAAACAGGATTGTAGAAGACAATTTCCTGAAAGTAAGGAAAGGCATCCCCATCCACCCTGGTTTCCTTGCATCCATCTCTCTTTAATTATACAATATATTAGCTACACCCAGATAAATAAGTGCTCAAACAGGGATAATTCTAGCTGGGCATGGTGCTGCACACCTTTAATCCCAGCACTCGGGAGTCAGAGGCAGGCAGATCTCTGTGAGTTCGAGGTCAGCCTGGTCTACATAGTGAGCTCCAAGCCAGATAGGGCTACAGGGAGACCCTGTCTCAAAAAGACAAAAAAAAGGGACGAACATATATACTTTACTTGTAGTTATGTTATATATAATTGGGTCAAGTACTCCCATAAAAAGGAAGAGATGGTAGTTATAATGGGTAAAAACAAAAAACATGATCCCAATATAGTGCTGTCAAAAAGCAGCACACTTTAGATCAGAGAACAAATGAATGAACCAATGAATGAATTTATTGGGCTCACTTATAAAACTGTGTGAGGGGTTACTTACAGGAGTGTTGGTGACTCCCAAACAGCTACTTCAGAGGAAAGCCCTAGCTCAGCATAGTTGTCAATTAACTTTCAATTAACTTTCTACCTCCTACACACTCTAGCACGTCCCAAGACCATGTGAAGCTAGGATAGGATTTCCTTCAACTGTGAGGAAGTAGAAGCCAGTGAGTTACTGGTGTCAGGTATCTGATGACTCCCTACTATAAAGGAATGTTAACAGACTGGGTCTTGTGGGAGTCACATGCAGATAACAACTCTGATTTCAAGATAGCAGTAGCCAGTGGGGGCTGAGCCTCTGCCCCGCCAGAGAGGCAGGACGTGGCGCTCAGTGATGGGGGCCGAGGAGGGGTAAGTGTGCTGCTCGCCTCCCCAAGACTCTCAGATGCAGCAGGGAGTTTAGTCATGCAGGAACTCATTTATTGTAAGTGTTACAATGCTTATAAAGGCAAAAAACACAATCATTAGCATAGGTGGGAACCTATCCTCCAATCCTGTGGAAGGTTACGTAGAGCAGGCAGGCTCCTTTCAATGCACTACTATGGTGATCAGGAGGTGCTCACGCATTTTCCCCCTGGTTAGTCTCCAATTACCTACACTTTTTCTTATTTTTTGTCCCTGGTCCAATTGCTTAGCTCCTCCCCCCACTGAGGTGGTCGGGTGCCATTTTGAACGCAGCTTCCCTACAAGTGGGTATACATTGCCTTTCTATGTTCATAGCTGAGCAGGACCTTAGTGACGATGCTCCCCTAGCAAAGTGAATGGCATCTGTCACTGTGAATGCTAGTGAGCAGGGATGAAGAGGTGCTCTCAGTTCTCACTTGATTTCTTCATACCCTACGATTACATGTAGTGTCTTCAGCAACAGCATCTTATCATCTAGTTCTGGTATTCAACCAACATCAGTGGCAACAGCCTGTATTCTGTGGGAGACCTTAGGGCCCCCCACCCAGATCAACAACTTGTACAGAATAGTCCACCTCTACCCTTAGAGTTTTTCTTCAATAATCTTACAGCTTCTGGGAATGTCTTTATTCTGAGTACACAGTGCATTCTAACTCTTTATTCATTTTTTTTAACATTTATAGGCATAAGCTGATGAAGGATTTTTCTCAGTTTTCTTGTTGGACAGCAACTGTACCTCTCTCAAGCCTACAGAACTCTCAAGAATTTTCTAGTTGTGTTTGACCCTTGCACCTTATGCACACTGATTACCCATCTTCACTTCTTTGGCTGTGCTTACACATACTTCAGATACTTTTCTAAAACACTCATAGATTAGCATTATATAATGAAAACTTTTTTGTTGTTTTGTTTTGTTTTTATGACAGGATCTTACAGTATAGCCCTGGCTGGCTTGGAACTCATTACATAGACCAGGCTGGTCTTGAATGCCAGAGATATGCCTGCTTCTGTCTCCTAAGTGCTGGGATTAAAGGCATGCACCACCACTCCTGGCCTAATGAAACTGTTTTAGAATGTGGGCAGGATCCCTGAAGGCTCACATCTGACCATTCCAAATGAGTGTCAGTTGCCTTAGGATTCAACAACTAAGTCAGGAAACTACTAAGGGGCCATCAGTGGGGGGCTTTTAAGGGAGGGAGGATAGAATTCAGGTGGTATGAAGGGGACATGAAGAATAATGTAACAGGAGGGTTAAGTGGGGTAGGGGATGAGAGGGCAGAATAGAAGAGGGAGTATGGGGAGGGATAGCATTAAAGACCTTAAAAAAGCCATATGGAAACCTGCTACAGTAGCATTCTAAAATATACATAAACGTACATAGAGAGTTTAAGCATAGATACCCAATAATGGAGGACAATGCTCTCCCAGACACCACGGGTTATCAAAAAGCCTAGTGCCAAGTATGGGTCACCTCTTTTTGTGTTGTTGGTCACTGGCATCTCATAGATGACAAAACATTCCAGGCTATTGCCATTACTTTTGGTTACCCTCCAGAACTTAGTGGTAAGGGTAAGACCCTATGGCCAAAGACACCACATACTGGAGTCATAGAACATGGAGAAGTCTAGCTGGTACTGACTTGGAAGCTTCATCCCTACTGGCTAGGTTTAATTATGCATACTATGGGGTAGTAATCAAGAGTTTTACCCAACTGAGAACTTTGTGAGCCACAGTAATGATTGGCCTGGCAAGATAGGTCCACTGGTGCAATAGTGGCATGAATTTTATGTGAGAAACTGACCAATTTCTTTTTGTTTTGTTTTTTATTTTTCTTTTTAAAGACAGGGTCTAGCTGGCCTAGAATTCACTATGTAGACCAGGCTGGCTTTGATCTCTTAGTGATCCTCCTGACTCCTGAGTGCTGGGATTACAGGTGTGTATCACCACATCTGGCACCAAAAACTTTCTGATTGGACTTAAGGTCTGCTCCACAAGATGGAATTCATAGCTGGCATTGTTAATTGGGCCAAGAACCCATGGGTGACTAAGTCACAAGCCCTAGGGAAGAATGTACTAGTACAATTCTGCTACACATTAAACTGCCCCCTAAGTACTTATCTTTATTTTCATAGATTAGTGCATCTCTCAGCCCTCATTAGAGAAGCTTCATTTTACAGTAGATGGCAGTTAATACAGAGGTCAATGCACAGAGACCACAGAGTACTTAGTCCTAGATGGACATCTACATCACACCTCTTCCTCCCAAGGCTCAGGAATCATCATGGAAGAGGAGCAGGATGTAAGAGCCCAAGGTGGTTGATGCCTACTGAGCAAGTGTTTTCCCAGAATCACAGGGCACTTGTACACATAAACTCACAGTGGCTGTGATGGCATGCACAAGACCTGCACAAGATCAAACCAGGCAAATCATAGCACAGATGGGGGAGGGGGTTCGTAAAGTCTCACCCCACTACTGACAATTCATTGGCTGCTTGGAGAGAGGGTGACTACCCATGACCCAATAGAGGCCCTGCACACATACACGTAATGCCAGAACTAAGTGGACTGAGTGAGTTTTTTTTAAAAGAACAAATGAAGTTAGGTGGGGAAAGTGATTCAGAATGGGGAGGAATTGAGGGGGAGAAAACTGGGGGTGAATTAATAAGAACACTTTATATATGTGTATGAAATTCTCAAACAATAATAAAATAGACCTTATCCCTGAACACTAGACAAGGACAAAAATAAAGGCAAGAAAGAGGAAAAGTTGGGAGGGGGTGAGGAGGCAGCGGGTGGATATGATCAAAATGCATTGTATGCATATGTTAAAAACTCAAAGAAAAAAAATTGAAAAGATCCTCACCTAGTCAGAAGCAACCATCAGAGGCAACCAACTAACTTTTAGTTACATAGCTAAGAATTTTCTGAGAGGATAAGCCAAATGAAACCAATTGTTTTGATTTACTTCTACATTCACTCTATGAAAATCTGTCTTATGCTTCAATAAATCCAAAAGATTCAAGAAGAATGTTATTCATATCTTGCATCATTCTGAAAGAAATATTGGACATAATGGTTAATCTTGATTGAAAAATTGAATTGAGAGATACTTGATGGATTAGTTAACATAAAGTGTATCTACAAGAGCATTTCCAGAAATTATGGTCATGTGTGACAGGAATTGAGGAGAGATA